TAAATGGACATATTCTTTTTGCTGAATCACGTAGTGCCCACCTGATGTCTGCTGTCTGTCTTCATGGTTTTCATTTTACCCCTCTTTGAATATTGTCCCTGAGTCCTTTTGAGATAACAATTCGATTTACTGCCATTACCAGTGCAGCTCATCAAAGCTGAATAGCCCTCGACAGATACACTGCAAGAGAAGAGGAGGGAGGCAGCTGTCCTTTATTCCACATACATTCTCCCCCACCCTGCTCCACCCTTGTACCTGCTGGGATTAGCCTGGCTTCACCATTGGTCACACTGCATCACCTGTCCAGGAGCCATTATGGAGGAGGAGCGGGAATTTGCCTCCTTGGTCCTAATGGACCCTAGAAGCAACAGTTCTTCACAACACTTTAGTCTGATAATTTTTGTGTAAATCTCAGAGGTGGGGAAATACTCTCTTTGTGATGCCTAGGTAAGAGTGGAGACAATCGTAAAAGAATAGTTTTAGAAGGGCTGGAGGACTGACAGAAAATTAAATGTTAGTGTCTATGAGGGCTCTCATTAAAAATAGGCCTTTTGTAGATAAAATGTATTATTGCAGTAGGAAAAGTTAGGATGACCTAGAAAGATGATGTCTGCAGTTAGCTGTCAGCCCTAGATATTGCAAATTCAGCTTTTTTTGCTTTTTCTTTCTTTTCTTTCACTGCTAGTGTCATTTTGAAGGATTCTACTGTGATCTGTATCTTTCTAGCATTTCGAGTCTAAGAAAGAGGCATGAAAATGATAACAATGTTTATTGTCATTTATTTTCACTGTCATGAAAATGTATAGCTGGAGTAGCTTTCAAGTGATAAAATGGGATTAGGAGCATGTATAAGTACTAGAGCTACTGCAGTAACATAATCTGGTAGTACACACTGAATTCAGGTTTTTGTTTTAGGATTTGTGGAATTGTTTGTTTTAATGCAAATGCATCCATCCTTATCAGTCTGGCTTTTTTTCTGCCTGACATCTGCAAGAGTTCGCTCTTAAGTATGAGAGGAATAGTTCAAAGTTGTAAGTGGAATTAAAAATGTTAATGAGGATGGATCAATCTCTTTTATGATGTTTGTGTTTTACCGAAGTATACAAATTACTACAGGAGGTGGCCTTGCTCCCCAGGTTCTTGGCCAGTGGCCTGATTGGCAATCTGTCTTTGAAGCTCTGTTTAGTGTTCAGGGAGAAGCAGTTGTTATACCTGCCAGTCAGTACCCGTGGGGTTTACCACCAAGCGTGGTCTGGCCGAGGGAATTCTGTGCTGAATCTGACCACGTTGTTTTAGGCTGCTGCTGGGAATTTGCTCTTTTGAAGGCTGGGCACTTAACTGGCACAACATTTCAGCTTCTGTTCTGTGAAGTTCCTACTTCAGTAGATTACAGGTCAAGCTAGCCAGGCATGTGGCATATACAGTCGCAGAGTGGAGGACGAACTGTCTTCTGCACGAATGCTGGAGGTAAATCCTTATTCTGGGCTAGTATAAGCTGTGGAACTAGTTGTGTGGGACTTACACTCTGCTTGCAGAACATAATGGATCTGCCGTGGGATGATTGTTTTCATCTTTGCTCCGAGGATGTTTGTTGCACCAGATTCATCTTATGTTCCCCACACACAAATTCATTGCTTTATTTTGAGGGGAAAAAGCATAATAGACTCTAAGTAGCCTAAAAAAGAAAAAGTCTAAAAGTTGTTTACTGAATAGCAGCCCTGCACATAGAGTGTTCCCTGTAGAGTTTAATGGCTCTTTCATTTTAGGCTGGGATAATCTCTTTTTCCTGTGTTGAATTCTCTGCTAAGAGCTTTGGAGAGAGTGGTTGACTCAGCACTGAATTTGAAGATACAGGAAGAGGGTTATTCGAGAGTGGGAAAAGGAACCTTGGAAAGGAGACAGGACCTGGCAGAGCAGGAAGACTGGAGTGGCAGTGTGTAAGGCTAATGAACATTTGAGCTCAGCTGACAGTCATAGAAGGTCGTAGCTGGTTAACGAAGCACAGGAGAACATAAAACTTCAAATGTGTAACCTGCTAGGAAGAGATAGATAAGGCATCTGATTTTGGAGCTATTCTAAACAATTGTAATATGCCTGCACAGGTTTGTCTTCTATTTATTTATCTTAATTAGAAGTGACTGGGAAGCTACAGAATGGCAGGGACTATAACCTCAACCATGAGAAATGAGCAAGAGCTGATTGTATGGTGTAGGAAGACGTGCTAAAGACTAGGAGACGTGTTGCTGCTTAGAACTCAGAGGGGAATCCCTGTTATACTGCAGGGGCAACAACACATCTGCAGTTGTTAATTGTAATTTCAGTTATGCTGTGTTTTTAGTAGTTACAAAATCTTTATGTAAATGATTGTGAAGGAATTGTCATAGGTGTTTTTGTTCTTGCCGATACACTTGCTGGCATGTACAATTGGTCAAAAGACATTAGGTAGCAATATGCTCTGAAAAGTCAAACTTTCTGCTGTCAGATATCAATGACTTCAAAGATGTCAGCAAAATCATAAGAAAAGTCAAAAATCATTACAGATTATCTCTTATGTGAGCTAGAATTCTGAAGGCTGAAAAATTATCTGAGGTTCACATGGCAAAAAAGTGAGCTAGAAATTATATATCCCAAGTTGGATGTTTGCTTAAAGAGCTTGAAAAGGGTTTATTTGGGTGTATATGATACTTTAGTCATACCTGTGATTGAAGTCCCTTACTTGTGAATGTGAGGATGTCATCTGAAAATCTGTGAAGCTAAACGTTGCTTTTCTACCACAGCAGTGAAAGTGAATCCTGTCTGTAATGTTCCTCAACTTTACAAAAGAGGAAATTTACTTTAAGAATAAACATATGTGAGCCTACTTATTTACAGTTAATGCTTTAATATAGGAAGGCTCGTTTCTTCACCAAGAGTTTAGGTTTTGGGGGGTGGGTGGCCTGGTAATTTAGATCTTTGTAAAATATGTACGTGCATTTGTTTTGAGTGTTAGACTGACCTAGGCTGCTTTTTCATTCTCCATGTGGCAAGTGATTTTTACCAAAATGTCACCTTTTGCACTGTAGCAATGGGACAGTTATTCTACCAGCTCCAATGTTGACATTCCCTGAATCTTTCATGTCTTGCTTTGCAAAAGTCAACACACTGGCACTGAACAGTCTGGTCAGCCTGCTGCTTCTGGCTGTTATGCCTGGATTTCATGTTGAGCACCTGCTGAGAGCATCCAATCTAAAGTGTGCTGGAACTTGGTTCAGATAAAACCAGATGTCCCAGTAGCTATGTTTTTGATCTCTGCAGACAGTTCTCTACTGACTTCACTAGGTAACAGTAGCAAAACTTCTTAAAGGACTTATTCAGCTGTTGGTTCAGTAGCAAAAGAAAGGTGTAGGCTAGTGCCTAGGTGTACACATATCACCGTTTTTCGGGAATTTGAAAGAACAGGTTGCTTGCTGCTAGTGTTGCCACCATTAGCTTCTGACTGTGGGTATACAGTTCAATTAAAGCAATGCAAAGCCAGCATACCATGTGGAGTCAGTTTCCTACTGAAAACTTTCAAAGCAGATGGAAAATGACCATAAGTGCTCACACTGAAGGAATATGTCAATTTATGAGACTTGGGCCATAACTTTAAAATCACAATATGTGTTCTGTGTCCGACTGCAGAGAAGTTTTACATTCTTACCAGGTAGCAGCTTTTTTCAGAGTGTATTTTTTCCCTGTCCCCTCCGCTTTTATTTTGGTCAGAAAATTGATCGTCTGCTCTTACCTACTAGTGCTCCTTTTGCTGAACCTGGTGCCATGCATATCATTATGATGAATCATAAATCATAAAACAAGCAAAAAAACCCACAACCCAAATCAATAAAAAACTCCCAGATCAAACCAATGCCAAAACTGCTTCTGCTTCTTGCACTCTCAGTTTTTAATTGTGACTTCTAGAGGTTCTAGGAAATGCATGTTTCCTGTCTGCAAATGGTGACTTTGGAACTTACTGTATCTTTACTTCAAAGCTGCTATCTGCTAGATTGGAGAACAGGGTATGGAGACTAGTGTCCTGGGAGTAACTGGTGGTGGGATGATCTCTACAAACACACTTGGGACATGCAGCAAGAGTTACAAAGCTAGAAAAAGAATAAGGTGTGGGGCAGGGAATTCTATGCAGAGAAGGTGAGACAGATAAATACAGACTTTCATACTTTGCTATGTCTGTGTCGGAGGCACTCTGGGAAGGGTTACGTTGGATGAACATTAAGTTTTGTTAGGGCAAATTATTTTGTTTTTTTAAACCAGAAGTTGTTTTTCACATTTTGGCCTTTCTGTTAAGTTTGAAAAATGTTCTACACACAAGGAGTATTTCCCACTTAATTCAAAATTTAGGATTCCTTGATAACTGTATCTTGAGCCATATTTAGAAACTAAAAGTAAATGGGGGCAGGGAGGAAGGCTGTATGGAGGAGTAATTGTATTTTCAGATGTACAGAAAGATATAAGGGCTTAATTTCAAGACGAAATGTGTAGTCATATATGTAACCCTATTGGCAGCTATTCTGTCAAAGAAAATAACAACAAGAAGAAGCTGATTTTTTTATTAAGATTCTTTTAGACCGTGCAGGTAAAAGCCACACTATTCTCAACAAGTATTACATATAGCCCAAACTCCTTGGCTTTCTGATTAGTAACCGAAAATGTGATGGAGAGCCATACTCAAATACAGTTGACTCTGATTTCTGGGTAGATGTGGGGACCGATGGGTTGTATGTGTTCAGAATGATAAAGTTCTTTGGTCTGGGTTTATTTTGATGTGCCTGGTTGAATAGGATGTACATACATATATGTATCAAAGTGGAATGGGTTAATCCACCAAAGGCTTTTGAAGCTCTTGTAGTTTGACAGTGAAGTTCTGTTATGATATAAAGGAAATGCCGTGCTATTTGCTGTGGGGATTTATGTTCTGGTTTTGGGTTACATCTTTTATTCATACAAATTTATTTTATCTTTTGTAGGAAAGAATTAATAGTGTCTGGCACTTTAAATCCACTTAAAGATTTGCATCTTGGAAAACTGGCGTTAACCAAGTTTCCAAAGAGTCCAGAAACATGGATTCATAGGTTTGTTTCCCTTGCCTTCTGCTGCCTCCCCAAACTTAAACGTTTTTCCTAGGGGTTTTTTTCCTGTGCTTGGGTTAAGGAGAGCCATAAATTAAGGAGGACATCTAGAAATATAGCAGATTCTTTGAGCGAGTAATTGTAAGATACCGTGCTTTGGCTTTTGAAGATACCTGCCTGTATTGTACACTTAGAACTCAAATCATATGCACCTTTTTTGCTGCATATTTTTTAAATAAACTTTGGAGGTGGGATAAATTTTCCTAAAGGTTTATCATATCTTGCAGCACCTAAAATTCTCAGCCTGAGAATTCTGATTCCATCAATAGTAAGTATTTAACCATTGTGGGTTTCTCCCCCGTTCCCTCCTCCAACTTACTACTATATTGCTTGTCTACAGGCATTTCAGAAAGACAAGAATCTGTAAAAGCTAATCTTTATAACCAAAATTGGATTCTTCTCCCTTCCAATACTGGTCTTTTTAGTTTGGTGAATTTATTGTTTCTAACTTAAGCAATGTCATCAAGTTACCACTGATAAATATTAAAAAACAGAGCACATTTTTGGAAAAGATAAGTCCAGAATTAAACACACAAAGCTAACCATCTCAGTAATGACTGAGTGTACTTAAAATGCCTGTAGCACAGCTGAGTGAAGTATAGATCCATTGCTCAACTTTGTTAAAAAAAAAAAACAACAAACTTTTTATCTGTTGAATGTGATGCATTAGAAAGCAGTTCACAATTTTTGGATTTCGCATGTCCCGCGTTAGGACAACTGCAAAGTTGATACCCCATTAGGGGATTCGTACTCTTTTCAAAAACATAAATACAGCTTCAATTGTAGTAATAGCAAATGAATTTTTGGAAGGAGGAGTTGTTGGTAAACTCTTCTTTGTGAGTGCATGAGCTTAAAATTCTCAAAGTTAACCTAGAATGTAATACATGGAATATTCTTAGATGTTTCTTAACTTACAAGCATCTGTTTTATTTCTGTTACTTTCTTCCTTAGTAGCACTGATATAGCAACAACATTGATGAATTTCTGCAATGATGGTTTTTGATTTTTTTTTTTTTTCCAACTGCTTCTCATCATATCCGTGCTACTGACTCATGCTGCTTGATTGCTTTGTTTGAAGCAAAAAGAGTGTAGAAATAATGGGAAAAAATGTTGCAGTTTGTCATGGTTTAACCTTTCCTACATGGTAGCTAACACTAGAGAACTGTAATATTTTTATGTGTAACTAGTGCTGAACCTGGTGCCATTCACGTCATTGTGATGATGAATACATTTTTACGAAGTTAGTCAGAATGGTAGGTTCTTAATATTTTTTTACAACTTAGAAATAACAAAAAATTCTGTCTACAATTTCTGTGCACTCTTAAATTAGGAGTATTTTAATGTTTTAATTTGTTGTTCTTTCTCTTATTTTCCTAAAACAGGAAAGTTTTTGAGGATGATTGTACAAATGTTTGGCTTGGATTTGGCTATGCTGACGGTGCTTGATATGTGTTAGAAAACAAGATGTGTAAAACATTTTCTTTCTGCGTCAGCACAGTGATTTCTCTTGTCTTATCTGTTCCCACATGATACCAAATTTTAGACAGAAGTGCAAAAAAATAGAATGGGACAGTTATGAAATTCAGCAAAACATACCTGACTTCTTTTTTTTCTTCCTTGTGCATGTCAGATACACTCACTGAAGATGCCAGAATACCTGTCACATTTTGCCGTATGACCTTTTTCTATGTTTTGGAGGGTTTAGGATAGATCTTGTGCATATACAGTCAGCATCTCTATTGATTGCACAATTGTCACTGAATAATCATGCATTCGTTTGCAGTAATTCCAGGAACTGAAATAGTAGTAGTAATAGGAACGTGCATACAGTGACAGAAGAAGTCAAATTTCTTTTCTCCAGATCTATTGGAGAAAAAGGTTCTCTCAAAAACCTCCAAAATAATACCATGATATTCAACAGGTACGAAAAATACATTTTAAATCTTCAGAGTTTGTGCTTGTCTGTCTTTACTCCCATGCAAAAAGTCTACAAAGTACCTCAGATTTAATCTTTTAACTTTTTCTTTTGTTGCAGCCACAGAGACTATAAAGTCTGTATTTTTTCGCGTGATCCTGTATATATAATTTATCTGAATTCCTTATTTTATGAAAAATCCTCATTTTAAGAAACTGAAATAATTTTTAAGAACAAAATAATTTGTCTTTTTACGGTTTTACTTAGAAATCGATATTAATGAAATAGTATTTATCTTTTGTTAAAAGCATGACTCCCTACTTATTTAGCTTTTGTGCCTAAATGTTTTTAGAATGTCTCATTTATTGCAAATCTGCTGATTGAAGTGAAGAAGTACTAGATGGTGGTATTTTGATCAAAGACATTTTTAAAAAGCAAAAATTAAGTCTTCAAAATTACTACATTTCATAAAATGAAGTTGCACAACAGTCAGTGAGCATGGTTTGTTTGGCTGTACATCTTTAGTTAAAACAAATGTTACATAGGAAGCTAATGTATGAACACTGCCTTCAATCCACTGCTTGTGATTTCTGCTGACAAGTGCAGTCAATTTGAAAATTGCATTCTTATCTTTACTATTGTCTTCCAGTAGTTTAAATCTTTTTAAAATTCACCAAGAGAAAAAGACAGAGTGTAAACAAACGCCAATGAACAGGAATATTATAAATGTTTTCAAATGAGACAAAAAGCAGATGGATTACCTATTTTTTCTTTGACATTGGTTGGCTTATCGATTTTTTTATATATATATATATGCAATTATATATCTGAATTGCAAAATTCTCTTTTTTAAACAAAATTTATTATTTTTTATTTATTGATTTCTTTTAACCATGCATGACACCTTTCTGAAAGTAGCAGTTAAGTGGTTTTGGAGCCAATGTAAGCCAGTACAAAACAGAAAGACCTTTGTGTCACAGATCAGAGGATGTCCAGCTTTCCAGAGAATTCCATGTGGGCCTATTGCCATTCACGCTGCTGCATGGAAGTCCACAGATCTGTGGTCCTTTGTTGTAGGACCCCTTTGTGTAGGGTCTGCAGATGCACCTTTTCTGTAGTATTGAGGACACCTCTCAAAATGTTTAAGTGAAATACTACTAAAAGTCAGTCCAAAGTAAAATTAAAAATCCATGTAGGAATCTGTGCTTATATCAGTCACTTCAAGTGAAATATGTATAACTTGGCGGTAAAACCATTTGTTTTGGTTGCACCTGTAGCCCTTGAAACTGTAAGTCTTTTGCAGTTTCTTTCTGATGGTGATGTACCGAAACTAATTTGGCTTGCTGTGCGCAGTACTGACAAATGTAAAAAATACAAAGTACAGTGAATTTTTTTAACTGTCACCTTTTTTCTGTTTCATTTTGGATACTTTAGTGCTATACGAGTCGCAATAAAAGGAATTCATTAGAAATCTTATGCAAACAATGCTTGAGTTTTCTTCTTAAGTTTGCTGTTCCCTTCCATTTTCTTTTAGTATGCTGTAAGTAGCCATGACAACTTACAGTTAGCAAACAAACAAATACAGCTAGAGTTAAATTATTTTGAGTGTGATCATAACGTCATAGCTTTCAGTACAGGAAGAGTTCAGATGGCTATGTTTACTACTTTTTCTTAGTCATCATCTAGTTAGTGTAGTTCACATAACTGAAATATCAGAAAGGCTTGATTGATTTATATAATTAAAAACCTTTTTTTCTCTTAAAATTGCTCTCTCACCATTAACACTGTACATCGTTTAACCAGACGATGGGTGCTGCAACAACTAATTCAGGAAAACTCCTTGCCCGGTCTTGTGACTAAAGGAAACTTGGGAGCAGCACCTGTGGAGAGAATTCACCAACTAGTGCAGGAGGAAATGAATGTCTGCTCTGAAGCTGCTGGGAGATATCCAAGCAACTACAATGCCTGGTCCCATCGCATCTGGGTTTTACAGCATTTGGGAAAGCTGGCTGTCAAGGTATAATACAGTAGTGAATAAAGTCTTAAATTTCCGTGTCCAAAAAAAAAAAATACTGGTTTGCCAAGCGGATCCTGTGACATGGGTGGAGAGTGTCATGTTAAGTAAGCACAGGTAGCTAAAAATGTTCTAAAACAACAGGCAAAATACTGCAATAAGTGTTTGCATTTTTCTTGCCTGTGTAGGCAGGTTCTGCTCTGCAGAAAGAACAGATTTTTCTTGCCCATATACAAAGTTCTGTTTGTCTATTGGGACTTACTGTTAACAAACTTGTGGCAGGAGGATAGAAGGGACAACTGAAAATAATTCTGGTAGCATTAATGGTGAAATTTCTAATAGAGAAAAAGATAATACAGGACAGGTATGATTTTGATAATGTAATGTCATCACTCAGCTTATCTGTGGTTTCAGAATATTGAAGAATTAAGCGGGAGTTTCAGAGAAAGCATAGTAGTGCTTGTAACTAGTTTCCTCAGCTCCAAAAGCACCTTTTGACAGCATTTAAACTGACAGCTGATCAAGCTATTTCAGGTGCAGCAGACACATCTTAAGCAGTGGCGAACATTTCAGGTCACATGGTAGTATCTAAAATATCAAGACCTGCTGCAAATTGAATTAGTTGATGTGACATGGTCTAAAATTATGTAGGCAGTTTTGTAATACTGTGGTTTCTAACCTGTTAGGTGAATTTCTTTTCGCTGTATCAGCCTAATATTCACATGTCACTCAGACTTTTAACAGCAGCCACTGCATTTTGCTGTCCTGTAAAGACATAGGAGAGTTGAGGGAGGAATTTAGTGGAGGTTGTTGAGCCGGTATAGCCATTATTTTTATGTCTTATGGGCCAGCTACTGGTAGCAATAGATGTTTTTCACTGATGCTTTCTGTGGATTGTCACCTGAGAAACTTTAAAAATAGCTGTACTGGATTGGTAGTAAATAGCAAGTGTGTTCCAGACTCCATGAGGCAGGCAGCCCAGAATTTGGACTCATCTGCCTAGCAAGTTTGTGTGAAAAAGCAGTTATGGAAAACTCAGAAGGATTACAGGATTGGGATAGATTGGAGGTTAGAAGCTAGGATTAGAAGTCAGTTTTAGTAGGAAACAGGGACTTTCACATAAGTCTTCAGCAGCTTTATTAAAGAGGGTAAAAAAAATTAGCACGGTTAATTAAAACAAGTTATTTTATGCTTTAGTTAACACTAGTTTGAAGAGCAGAAAATTATAGAGTGGTATGGGTTGGAGGGGACCTTGGGCAGGGACACCTTCCACTAGACCAGGTTGCTCAAAGCCACATCCAACCTGGCCTTGAACACTGCCAGGGAGGAGCAGCCACAACTTCTCTGGGCAACCTGTGCCAGTGTCTCACCACCCTAAAAGTAAAGAATTTCTTCCTTATATTGTCTAAATCTACCCTGTTCCAGTTTGAAGCCGTTACCCCTTGTCCTGTCACTCCATGCCCTTGTAAAAAGTCCCTCTCCAGCTTTCTTGTAGGCCCCTTCAGGTACTGGAAGCCTGCAATAGGGTCACGCCGGAGCCTTCTCTTCTCCAGGCTGAACAGCCCCAACCCTCTCAGCTTGTCCTTACAGGAGATGTGCTCCATCCCTCTGATCATTTTTGTGGCCTCCTCTGGACCTGCTCCAATAGCTCCACGTCTTTTCTGTGCTGAGGGCCCCAGAGCTGGACATAGGACTCCAGGTGGACTCTCACCAGAGCAGAGGGGCAGAATCCTCTCCCTCGACCTGCTGGCCACGTTGCTTTTGATGCAGCCCAGGATATGACTGGCCTTCTGGGCTGTGAGCGTGCATTGCTGGGTCATGTTGAGCTTCTCATCAACCAACACCACAAGCCCTTCTCCTCAGGGCTGCTCTCAATCCGTTGTCCGCCCAGCCTTTATTTGTGCTTGGGATTGCCCTGACCCAGGTGCAGGACCTTGCACTTGGGCTTGTTGAACTTCATGAGAGTCGCACAGGCCCACCTCTCCAGCCTGTCAGGGTCACTCTGGATGGCATCTCTTCCCTCCAGCAAGTCGACCGCACCACACAGCTTGGTGCCAGGCTTGCTGAGGGTGCACTCAATCCCACAATCAGGATCAGGATAACACCCTGGGTACTTTTTGCACTTGCTATTCCTTACTAATTTACATACACAGAAAGAGTTGCATTGTGATAGAAATAACACTTCTCGGAGCTGGAATTATTGTGGTGAGTTTATTCGTTGGCAGTTGTCAATGCTTTGCGTCACAAAGCATGCCTGTGAAGGAAGTGTTAAATTTGTTCGACTGCTACCAAGTCCATTTGACTTGTCCACCATCCCAATTCACCTACTGGTCTTCTTTTTAGGCTGATTACTAAGGAAGTGGTGGTTTTCTCTTTTGTTCAGCTGGCTCTTTTTATCTCTGACAAAATTTCACTGGTGCTGCTGTTCCTCAAGCAGTGTGTTTAACCCATTGGGAAACCTCCATGTTGACTCAGGGGTTTTTTGACACCACCAATGCATCTCCTCACATGGCCTAGAAGCAGGTGTTTAGGATGCAGGAAAATTAGGAAAACGTGTGGAACATAAAAGATATTGAGATTCTTGAGATAAAATTTGTGTCCAGGTAACTTTAAAAGACAGAATTAGAAGTGATTACTTACAAGATTTGACATGTGGAAAAAGGCAAATACAAAGGAGGACAGGGAAAAACCAGACATTACACATTTTCACAAAAATACACAAGTTGTTTTCATGCTTGATGTCTCATTCTGTACCTTCAGCCATTTGTGTGTTTGAATATCTGAAAAGAATGGTAAATTTCACCAACACGTAAGGCTGGAACGTGCAGAAAAAATTAACAGATTAAACAGTAGCTGTAATTCTACAGCTATTTAGTTCATGCAAGGTTGCCTCAGATTAGAGTACCCTGTGTTATTTACAGCCACATTTGTGCTATAGTACAAACTTTGCCTGTAGTCTGAGGTTGTTTTTTATTACAGTGTACAAGGAAACAGAGGCCCAGAAGCATAGTGTATATGTTGTGTTATCATTGAAATAAGACTTCTCAAAACAAGTTTATCATTCATTATACTGTTGCCCTGCTTTGGAGGACTTGGGAGCGTAGGTTGTTCGGTAGGGCTTGGGTTTTTTCCTTTGGTTTATGCTTCTGCAGACTGAATCTCAGTTCAAACTCTGGAAAAAGGATATGAAATACTAGAGGAGAAAGTTTTGGCCCTGTAGGAAGATATTCTCACAGAACATAGATATTTCTTCTTTCTTACATTAGACAATAAAAAACATTATCTTGTTTGAATATAGAAATCTCAGTCTGGTTTTCGTGCAGAATTTGAACTACATTAGCAAGTCTACATTACAGTTCAGTAATATCATTTAAGGATTTGTCAAGAATAGATTATTCCAAACCAATCCAATCTTTCTGGTATTGGAGTACTTGCCTCAGAGAAGGATTAAAAAGCTTGACTTCAGCTTTCTCACATGACAGTACAGTTAGCTAATGGGGGAAAATCATGGACTCCAGATGCCTACTAATGGGTGAGTGCGTAATTAACTGGAGAACCACAGTAAAAGAATAATATCAGTATAGTCTGTTCAAATTCGTATACATCATTATACTTCACAGAAATTGTGCAGTCTTAAACATAGGATGTAGTTCAGCAAGGATGGACAAATGTTTTTGTTTTCTTTAGATAGGAATGTGCAACTTCATAATTACAGGATGGAAAGTGACTGATCAGGCCACACCAAAAAGAAACCAGCAAAGAAACAAGTGGTGGGCTGATTGCCATGAGGCAACACAGCTCTTGTGTGATGCCCAGAAGACAGAAGTGTGTTCATAAGACACAAAGTCATTTTTCCTGTAGACATGCCCAGTGAGGCCTTGGTGGCTTCTTAGATGACTGGACCTCCAAAGGTACCTGTCTTTTGCGTGAGTGGACATTGTCATATTTATCTGGTTATTCTTAGAATTTTTTTCCAGATAGAGTTCATTTCTTCAGTGTCCCAGCCCGGGGAGGAAGTTTTGGGCTGCAGTTTATGGTGGGTAAGCACATTAAAAAAGCAAGCACAGGGTCAGGGAAAGTGTAAGAGAAGGTGTAGACCCACAGGTTGAGGCAAAGGTCTCTGATTGCATATGTCCTATTCTGGAGCAGGATGCTAGTTCCATGGTACTGCTCTCGCTACCAAAGATAGAAGAGGGCCCTTTGTGAGAGGTGGTCAGGAGTGGGGAGGGAGGTGTTCTCATATCACTTTGTCTTTGCTTCACAGATGGTGTGAAATGGAGAAAACTGGCTTGGTAAGAGAGAACGTCTGTTGGAATTCAGATGTTGGCTGGTTTGGTTTTTTTTTACCCCAGTTGTTCGAAGCACCTTCCACTGTTACTCTGAGATTCCTGGAGGAGAGGCTTTGGTTTTCTGTAGATCTCAAAAGGTTTAATAGCAATCTTCTGTCTTTTCTAAAAGAGGTTTTCTAGTTCGGGTAAGGAGTGACACTGGGGATCATTCTGTTTGCTTTGTGCAGGGAGGTAAAATGCATAATTACACTGTTCCCCTGTAACTTTGTAAATTTGTCAGGTAAATGAATCAGATTATTCCAAAATGTAAGCTGCATATAATGTGCATAGTATCAGTTGCAGCTGAGTAAAGACTAGTCTGATTTTTCTGATGTTGCCCTTGAGCCTTATGTTGTTTTAATAGGCTTTTAAATCTTAAAGTTCAGAAATTTACAATAGTGAGCTCAGTTCTGCTGAGAAGAGAGAAGCTGATCTTGTGGTTTAAAGTGCAGAAGTGGAGATGGGGATTTTACCCCCCGTAAAAATCCTGTGTGGGGGCTGTTACAGATCAGTGCCCTTCAGTTTGCTGATCCGTAAAATGAAGACAATGCTGGTATCTCTTGTCAAGACCTAAAAAAGCATGTTGAGTGTCTCTAGTAGAACACGCAAGTTATATTGTTTGTATTTGCTCTAATACCTTTTAGAACAGATGGACAACAAAAGAGGTGTATAACTAGCCTTGTGCATTTCCATGGTTTTCTTTGTGGGAGGCTGTGCCTCTTGTGCTGCAGGAGAAAAAAGAAAGACTCATGCCTGTGAAAGTTGCTTTGCATCAGCCAGTCCTGTGAAGTGACATAGGTAGATTAGAATAAGAGGTTAAAAGCAAGAATGTACCAGTAAGGTTGTATCCAAAGTCTTTAGAAATAAACGAATAAGATAGTTTTGATATCTGTGGAGAGTTTAAACTCCAGAGGAGGAACAATGTGAGGAAAGAGGTTAAAGCCTTTAAAGAAATACAACCATTAGTTCTAATAGAAAAAGTAAAGAAGAAGCAGCTTTGCCAAGTAGCTAAACTCACCTGTCTTCCTAGAAATAAGTTTTGAAGCTTTAAAAACATTTAGAATGAAGAGAAGATTCGCAGGTGCCAGCACTGTTACAAATACAGCTGCAATCACCAATGTAAGTGTTTACCGCAGTTATTGTGAAAGCCTTTCTGGGAATTCACCAGTTACCAAGTCAAGCAACTTAATTATGGACAAATAGTTTTGTATTCCACAGGCTCTAAGACTTGGAACATAAAGTTAGTGGTTGACATTCTTTCCTGGAAAATGAAAGCATAGACACTTTAAATCCTCTTTTTAAGCAGCTCGTCTACCTTCTGACACCCATAACGCACTAGGCAAAAATTAAAATACTTCTGACTAATAATCGTGCAGTTTGGTGTACCCTCTATCACTGTCTTCTCTACATAGTCTTTATTCCTAGCCATTTTGAGATTTTTAAACCACTGCCAATTTCTCATTGTAAGTGATTTGGGCTTTTTTACCCTCACCCTGTGGGAAGGTTTCTGAGTCGCCTACCTCTTCAGAGTTTGGAAGAAGAATAATTTCTTTTGTACAGGGATGCCAAGGTACTTGCCAGCACACAGTGGAAAAAGCTTAGTGATTATTTCATTTTTTGTGTGTATTATTAAACCATTGCTACAGTGGCTGAAATCCCTAGAGGAGAGGTTTCCTTAATACAGAAACTGTGGTCGTAATTTCCTCCTTTATGCTGGTTGATAACTGTTGCTGCTTTTTTTATTTCAGGTTATCCTTGATGAACTTTCATCCACTAAATACTGGGTATCCATGCATGTCTCAGACCATAGTGGATTTCATTACCGTCAGTTCTTACTCAAGTCCTTGACAGGCAGAACTGTGACTGACAATAATGTACTGGTGCAAAATCAAATGGTAAATGAGCAAAACCCTAACCTTCAAAACGAAGAGGAGAGTGCAAGGGCAGAAGCTGCCTGTGCGGAGGAGCAGAGTGTGAATCTCTCCCGCCATTTCGAGGAAGAGTTGGAGCTCTGCACTGAACTGATTGATACTTACCCAGGGCATGAAACCTTGTGGTGTCATAGGTAAGAGGACTTGGTCCTGATTTGTGGATTTGTGGATTGCTCTTTGCCTGATATTTCCAGACAAATTGTTGTTCTCATTTTAGAAGGTACCGTTCAATAGAAGATTTCTAAGCTACCATGTCTTAAGCCTTTAGAAAATGTTCAAGAGCATAATCAGAGCTATTGAATGTAAAATTTGATTCAGCTTAAGTGTCTTGTTGACGTAAGCTCCTCTTGTCCCTGTAGTTTTTGCAAGAGATGCAACATAGTGTTGATCAGCCTTCTCACACTTAAAATGTTTAAAGGGCAAAAGATGGATCAGCTGCAGAAAACCTCTTCTTTGGCAGCTGGGTGCATGTGGTTGACTAGGTAACAGCAGATTCACCACGGTGACACTGAGGCCTTTTGTGTGCAGTGACAGCAGATTTTGTACCTGTTTGTGGGGGAATCTGGTGGGATGTTAAAGGAACTGAAGCAGTTCAGCACCACCAGCAGAGGATTTTTGGTGCATGACACTTTTTTTCCTTGTTCTTTTCTGTTTTTCTCTTCCTTCCTTTTTCTCTGTAGAAGGCATGTGTTCTACCTTCAGTACCACCTAAGCAACAAAGTTCTTCTTCTGAATGCAGTGGTATCATCTGTGGACAGCAGTGATGAAACTCTGAATAATTCACACCACAGTCCTGCGACAAGTCACGTGGCACAAGCTATGGATGTTGATGGTTTGAATGAATCCAGCAGCAAACAAGGTTATACCCAAGAAACAAAACGCCTGAAGCGTGCTCCTATGCAGGACTCTTTTGGTCCAGAAATGGAATACCGGTTCATTGATAAAGTATTATCAACTTGTAGGGATGCAGACCAAGCCAGGTTCGCTACGGCTTATAGGAAATGGTTAGTTACTTTTTTAGGTCAGTGAAGGAAGTGTTCAAAGCCTTCAGGGTTCTTTTAGTGCAATATTCTCTTTTCAGACACAAATGCATGTCTTTGTTGCAAGTGTTAACTAACCATGTGTTTCTCACTCTTTTAATGGTCAGTCTCAAAGTTCATATTTAGAGTGGAAGTCTGTAATTTGATTAGAGAACTGACATTGCTTTTTATTAAGCAAATGCAGTTTGTTCTTTAATCCTTTGAAGAAATCACTCTGTGTCAGGTTCCTACCATGCCGTTTTCTTATTTTTTTGACTTCTGCATTAAGGTGGACTCTGGATCATTTGGCTTTAAACAAAAAAAAAAAAAAAAAAAAAAAAAAAAAAGTCTAAAATGCTTTTGAAACGGAGTGTCTGGAAAAAGAATAGGAGGATCTATCAGTATCAGCTAAACCTGTTTCCAGGTTGTTCCTCTTTGCTGTCGTGGCATCTTGCTAATACCTTACTGGATTCAGATGATATTGGATGAGTGCTGTCATTTTTGTATTAGCAACCTGTGGTAGAACACCATACTGCAGTGTTTCTGTCTCAAGGTTCCAGTAACAGTATTGGAGCCATGCTTTTTGATATTGTAACTGGGTTTTTGTTTGCTTATTAGTTGTCATATGAAGTTGATAGGAAAGTCTATGAAGTTGACATTCTGAAAAGCAGATACAAAAGAATGTGACAGAAAATAGTTCAAACACACACATTCATGCTCACACTTACAATCAGAGGTATATTTGAAAATACTTTCTTAGAACAGTCTACCTTCGTTTCCTACTTGGTATTTATTTATTTGTTTTGTGTCAAAAATCCAGAATTAATGACACTTGATACACATTTCTGAATGCCTTATGTACACTACAGAATCTCAGCCTGCTAAATCACACATTGGTAACTTGTACTTAACCAAGATCATACAAGTCCAAGAGATAATGGAGTGAAAAATAATTATTCTGACTGGTCATTGAGACTGCACAATTCAAAACAAAAGACGGCAGGAGAGAGCTATCTCTTTACGTTTGTTCTTTTGCAGAGCTTCAGTCTTCAGGTTTTTTTCTTTTGACTTCCATAAGAGCACTTCTCCAACCATACATCTCTGTTTACGTAACTGTAAATTTTAAGGGAATTTGAAACACATTTGTATTCCAGTGAAATTAAACATGAGTGGTTTATTTCGTCTTTTCCATAGAACTTGTCTATATAAGGGATTTTTTACACTAATGGAATTATGCTGGTCCAAAGACCCAGGAGAGAAATATTGTACAACTGTTGAAGTTTGTACAATGGCAACATAGCCTCTGTTCCAAACAGGCTATTCACTGAGGGGATAAGATTTTCAAGCTATCACTGAGGGGATAAAATTTACAAGCTAAATATACAAGCTTGTATATTTCAAGTTCAATATACAACTTCACCAAAATTGTTGTATATTTCTCCTGCCCAAAGTGCCTCCTGACTGTGATAAGTTTCAAGCTGCTGTTCCTGTTGGGCGGAGAGTGCAACAATAAGGGAGAAAAAAAACAGGTAGCCTGCTGAAAAAGGTATCATTTGGAAAGAAAAAAGGCACTTGAAAGATGTGGAAGTCCAACAATTTTAAATAATTTGATTGATGGGGCTTACACTTGCAGCCTATAGGAAAGATGGGGACAATCTTTTTAGTAGAGACAGCAGTGACAGGACGAGGGGTAATGGTTTTAAACTAAAACAGGGTAGGTTTAGGCTGGATATAAGGAAGAAATTCTTTACAATGAGGGTGGTGAAACACTGGAACGGGTTGCCCAGAGAGGTAGTGGAAGCCCCATCCCTGGAAACATTCAAGACCAGGTTGGACAGGGCTCTGAGCAACCTGATCTAGTTAGCGGTGTCCCTGCTTGCTGCGAGGGGGTTGGACTAGATGACCTCTAGGGGTCCCTTCCGACCCAAAACTTTCTATGGTTCTATGATTCACCTCTAGTCTTAGGGAGTATGTTTGTAACTCATTTCAGGCACAGAATAGCTAACAGACATTTCTAAATGTAGATTCTGTTTACAATACCTAGATAAGACTGACCTAGGCTTGAACATCTCCATGGCAAAGCTTTGTTTCACTGGGCATACACACCTGCCTCTATAGCTAGGGACATATTAGATGGCCATTTGTTTTGAGGTGCTCTGGGATGCTGTCTTTGTTGATGGTTTTAGTTGCAGAAGGACATAATCGATGTGTGAAAGAGGTGTGGGCATGGATAGAGAGCATAATTTTGTCGTAAGATGTTGTCTCTGTGACCACTGACAAGTGGGTAGGTTCAGGCACAAACCAGAGTCTCAGCTTAAGAACTTAACCTGAGCAAGAATGCATTCCAGAGGACCTGATGTTTTTTGAGTATGAAAGATACATTAAAACGTGTAGTAGCCTGGGTCAGCTTGATGAACAGTATCGCGTTAGTGACTAATATAAACGTAGAAAGTGTGAATGCAGCTGGCAATCTAAGGATCGTGTTCTTGGTCCTAGATTGCTTAGACAGTAACTTAGTTGTGTGTTGTGTTTACCTTGGCAAAAATTACCTGTTAATGAGAAAAATATTAGTGGCAGGAACAGATTGGGAAGTGGAGCACGATAAGAAATATTTCTTGAACTTTGGAAGGGAAGAGATGCTTTCTTCTTGCACTGGAATGATTGAGGTTTTTAGAGGAGAAGACTTACATTGGAATCTGACTTGAAACCCATTATGTATTTCTTCCAGACTATAACCTGGAAACCTGGAGTCTTAGTTGGCTTTCTTAGATCTGTGTCATGGAAGTACTGTGTTATTGAATTTGACAATCTTTCAATCATAAACACTTTAAGGACAAACAGCTGCCCTCGTATACAAGTGTGCAGTTACTATTTGTGTCAGCACAAGTTACACGTGCTTATAGGAAGACAAAATTTGGTCCTACTTAAGAGTTGCATTGTATTTTCATACTTGGAAAATGTTCTGAGAACTCTGATTAGAGGTGCTGATATTTGTATTACTTTTACAAAACACTGATGACTCTGAAGTGTGGGGTTTTTAAAGTTTACACCTGATGGAAACAAATAATCTCCCCCCCCCCTTTTTTTTAATCCAGTGAGAATAGCTACATTTAGAAATTTTTGCAGACCAGATTCTGCCACGCAGAAAATTAAACAATATATGTGAAATTGAAAGTCATATCTTTCCCTTTGAAAGAAATGCCAACAATAAGCTGTCAAAATTGAGCTTTAATTGTTTTCATGGTAACAATATAAATTATATAAAAGGAAGAGAATGTATAACTAAATTACTTCAAGCTGTCAGTGTCCTCTTACATGAAATGATTGAAGAGATACTTCCAACAAATTGCATTAAGCTCTCAACTGTGTGATGTTCTGGAGCTATGATCTGTGGAACATACTGGCCTAATCATTCAGTACTACCGCAGAGTCTCATTTAGGCACTGCCTGAAAAAAAGAAAAGTAGCTTCAGGCCATTGGTAATTAACATCCATAACAGTTACCAAGTACAGCTACTTTAAATAACGTATTTTAGTTATTTTTTGTTTCAGAGGTCAGATAATTATGATGTAGTCAGTGAACATTCTTGTGGAGAAAATGTCCAACAGAAGTTGCAGAAGTCAAGGCTCTTGCTCTCTGAAGTTCCTTCAAATATTAAAACAAGCTTTGTATGTACGTAAGCATTTTCGTATAAAGTTTAGCATCTTTACTGATTTTAGCTTCTGCTGTAGTATGTGTCATTTGACTTGATGCAGATTTGTTTTGTTCAGTGGGTTAGTCTTTGTAGAAATTTCTTTGTGCTAGAAACAAGGGGTTTTGAGGAACAAATGTAATTTGAAACCACAGAAATTAGCGTGGAAGGAATCACATTTTTAAGGGGTTGAATTCTCTGCTGCTAAATACATAAACTTTTATTTCATTGGCATTTGGTTTATCTTGTGTGTTACAGTCAATGGAGCAACACATGCAGCATTGAAGATAGCTACAATAACAACCTTGTGTAAAGTTACTATTGGAACACATTGCTATAGCTGCTCTGATTAATATTTGTGAATCTACTCATGCCTTCATATTAGTATTTTGTTGATTTCTTACATATTATTTATACAGTCAAATCCTTGTGTCATTTAAATTAGGAGAAACATAAATTTTCGGTTTATACTGTTTGATTAATTACCCTATATAAAACTTGTTTTAAGACAAATAAGCAAAATAGTAATATAGTGAGAAATCTTAGATTCTATCTTATAATGAAAATTTCTGCCATTTCCATTTTTGTGTTAGTGCTGCTTAATTAGAATGTGTAGCTATTTGTTGTGACAGGAGTGAGTTTTTTCCTGAGTAGATAATCAGTGAATTTTTAAAACAGTACTGTACAATAGTGATGAGCAGAAACAAAGGGTTTTGGAAAGGCTTGTCTACATAGCCAGGCTCAATAAGCATACTTTTTCAGAATAACGTATAGTACAATGAACAAAATGTGACTACCAGAGAATAATTTAGGTGGTGAGTCTTCAGAGGCTGGGTGATTGAATTTTCAGACAAGGTTGCTTAGTTTTGTTTTGCCTTCGAGGGAAGAATTTTCCTTATTCTTTTTAATTTGGTAGGAAGTGAACCATTGCACTTACAGTGTGGGGAAAAGAACCCACAACTGCTGAGTTGTATCTTTTAGAGCAATTTTGGAACAAGAAGCGATGAAGTGAAATGTAGATGTGACTTTTAAGTGCATGTTTGTCCTGTATTCATTTGGTGATGAGAGGTCTTTACAATTAGATCTTACTGTTTTATTAATGTCAGATACAAAGGAAATAAGGTCACTTGACTATTCTCAAAAATGCACTTAACATTCAAGTTAGTTACAAGGCAAGTTCAGTGTCCCTGTCTAAGATAATTTTCCTTCTTTTTTTTCCCATATACTCAGATGTGTGTTTCTTTCCCAACCTCTTCTCGGTTCTTCCAACCAGCAAAGAAGAATGTAGCAAAGCATTGGTGGGGTGGCCTCGTTCTGTATTTACATAACTCTACCTCCCAAGAAGTGCTCTGATTGATGTCCTTAAATGGAGTTCATCAGGCTCAGTTTTTTTGGAACCTCATGCTAGGCCTACATCCTCTTTCGGAGGTGAAAAGCAA